CACATCCCTAATAGCTTAGGAGGAAGATTGTCTTGGAGACATTTACTTTGGGGACCAAAGATTAATTGGGCCATTGCCATTTCTGTGCGTGAGGCTCCCCAGCAGCACTAAAAGCTTAGCTAAGAAATAATGGGACAAGCTTAGAGGAGGGGACTTGACCCCCCATGGCTCTCAGCCAGAGTGAGAGATATTAAGAAAATGAAGGCTTATAAAGTCTCAGGGAGCTCTGATGGCATAGTGCCTAAGTCATTTGACTGCTAACCAGAAGGCTGGCCATTCAAACCCACCAGACTCTCCTCAGAAGGAAGACTGGACAATCTACTTCCGTAGAGATACTGCCTCAGAAACCTAAGGAGGGGTCATTATGAGTTGGAATCAACTTGTCGACAAGGAGTTTTATATATATATATGTAAAGTTTCAATAAAAAATGCACACTAGATCTTCTTTTCACCACAGTCTTCCAACTCTCACTGCCAAACTCTTTTCTGCACAAGATAATCATTTTTTTTAAAGTGTATACTATAAAATTCTTTATCATTATTATTTTTTAAAAAAGACAAGTTCTACTGGAGCCAAATAAATTTAATAAATGCTGCATACTTAATTATTGATGATTAGCAATGATCATTAGCATATTAAAGGCACCCAATAAGTCTTGCAACAAAACAATCTATTTCATTTTGTTTAACCTGCTGTTGTTGTGTGTGACCAAGCCAATGCTCACCCATAGCCACCCTATAGGACAGAGCAGAACTGCTCCAGAAGATTTCCTAGCCTGGAATTCTTACACTGGGTTACTCCTCAAGTAACCCTGGATCTTTTAGTTAACAGTCAAATGCTTAACCACTGTGCCACCAATGATCCTTTTGTTTAACATAACATTTTCCAAGTCTCTCATATCATGCTTTTTATTTGCTGAGGAATAAGTTTTCTACAGAAAACTTTGAAAATTACTTTTTACAGCTTGATGCTATATGTACTACATTCGTAGGTAAGAGGAAGAGTTGACATGAACCAAGGTATTCAGAGTGGGATTTTTTTTTTGGTACTGGAAAGAAGTCCTGGATGGAGTGGGTGGTTCATGCAGCATTTAGTTCCAATTCTGAGGAGTGTAACCCAAGTGAGGCATTCTTTTAATTTATTCTTGATAATAGAAAGCCAGCTCAGTCAATCAATCAACCCTTATTAACTGTCAGCTGAACTCAGTACTTTTCCAGGAATACAATTATATCACAATAAATGAAAACCACCAGGTTGAGGAATATTTCTTTCATTGCTTTTGATTTCTTGTGAGTCTGACCTGTTCTTTTACATCATTTCTGCAAAGTAGCTGAAAAATTGGCTCACTGGGGTACCTTAAACAGCATAACAGGGATTACTAAAGAAGCCAATAAGACACTACTTAATAACCTGGGGTCTATGTGGTATTTTAGTTTCATTGCCTGATTTTATGACTTCTGTGAGCTAAAATTAAAATTTCCAAACCCTTTATCACTGTAAAAAGCAATCCAAGCATGTAGCGCATAAGCAAAACAGCACTTTTCTTCTCCCAAATTTCTTTTTCCTGCTCACTGCTCTCTTCCATGAGCAGCAAAGTAGGGGGTAAGGCTGAAAAACGAAAGCACTTCATTAATTTCAAATATCAAATGGCTGGATGACTTGGACATTCCATGGGTTAGCCTGACTTTTTAATTCTTAGCAGTAACAGAAAGTACAATTTATAATTACCTTTATTCCACAGTTTGATAAAAGAATAATGATGGAGGGTGGGGATACACATTGCTGGATGCTCGGTTCTCTAGTTCTTTTTAAGGAACTCACTGTTGGGAGAGATTGGAGTGAGGCTGCCATCTAGTGGTTGCTGTTCCAAACATGCTGCAAATAACATCACCTTTGGCTTTACTGTTGAGTACAGAGGACTCTCGCAAGCAATATGGGACTGTCTGCAGTAACAGTTCTTAAGTAAGTGCTTCAGGTAAAGTGTCGGTTCTAAACCTTAGAACCATCTTTACATCATTTTGCTTACTTTCACTACATAAAGCTAAGTTACTCTGCAGGCATAGAGGAAATATTACCTTCTACCACTAAGCTATGTCTACACAAATGGAGTGTTTTGGTTATTGTTTTGGTTCTGTTTGTCTTTGCTTTTTTGTTTGTGTGTGTGTGTGGGAGGGGTGGGTCACCTATTCTACCTACTGAAATGTATTCCTCATTTTCCCCAAGACTTTAATTTTATTTTTCTTATGAGATAAATGATCTTCTCATGATGGCTGTGAAGTGTAGAAAACAGCTTGATTTGGTGGAATAATCTGGGCCTTTGAAATCACACAAATATGAATTTGGAGCTTGATTTCACGATTCCCTCTAAGTTTCATGCCTTCCCCACTTCTGTAAAATGACAACCAGACCACTCAACTTGCATGAATATTGTGAAGATGAAAGGGGCTGGTGCACGTGAGGCAGGCCACACTGTATAATGCCTAGTGGATGCTGGATTTATGCTGGATTCTTCTCTCTATCTCTAGGGCTGCCTTCTCCCTTTGCACACACACACACATACACACACACCTCACTACAATCCTGACTCCAGAAACACAGAAGCCCAGTCTCACATACATTTACAAAGTTAAAATATAGGAAGCCAAGATTTCTCAGCCTTTGTGCTGCAGAGTTCCTTAGAAATAATAGAATTTCAAGGTAGAAAATCAGAAAATAAGGGAAAAGAGACTTGGTATATCTATCCCAAAACTATAAAATATTTTAGTGGCAAATATTATACTAAACACAAGTGCTCTTGGCTTTTACTCAACTTCATATTCACGGAAGATACTGTAGAGATAGCCTTCACTCAAGTTCTGGTTGAAGATCTAAACCACTTCTACACTCCCGGTATCTCTGTTGTTGTTGTTGTTATTTGCTGTCGAGTCACTTAACTTCATTTGACAAGGTTTAGGGATGTTAACACTTGACTGCTAACCAGAAGGCTAGCGGTTCAAACCCACCAGCCATTCCTCAGAAGGAAGGTTGGGCAATCTACTTCCGTAGTGATACTGCCTCGGCAACCCAAGGTGGGGTCGCTGTGAGTCAGGGCTGACTCCACGGCAAACAACAACAACAACAACAACAGGGATGGTAAGTGCCTTTCCCAGGATCATCACAAGGTTACATCAGGGCTCAGGTCTCTCGATGCCAGTAGTGTTCTCTCTAATACCCTATGCTGCTACCTCAGGGACATTCTCCCTTATTTAGGTTTCTCTGTAGCCCAAGTTTTCATTTCTCATATGGACAAGAGTTCTGTTCAACAGGGACGTGAGCTGCTGTGAAATATTAGCTTGTAAACTGATATACAGGATGCAGTATGTCAGGTGGCACTGAAAAACACATTTTCTCTCTGGTCCTAGCCCATTGCAATTGAGTTGATTCCGACACATAGCAACCCTATAGGACAGAGCAGAACTGCCTCATAGGCTTTCCAAGGCTGTCATCTTTGTGGAAGCAGATTGACTTATCTTTTCCCCATGGAGTGGCTTGTGGGTTACAGGCAAGAGCTTAACACCAAACAACAACAACAAAAACAAACACTGCAGATGAGTCGGTTCCAGTGCACAGCGACTCTTCCTTGGGTTTCCGAGGCAGTATCTCTATGGAAGTAGATTCCCCAGTCTTCCTTTGGAGGAGTGGCTGGTGGGTTTGAACCATCAGCTTTCTGGCACTCACTCACGTTCTGGTTGAAGATCTAAACCACTTCTACACTCCTGGTATTTCTGTTGTTGTTGTTGTTATTTGCTGTCGAGTCGGACCCGACTCATAGCGACCCCTCCTTGGGTTTACGAGTCCGTATCACTACAGAAGCAGATTGCCCCATCTTCCTTCCAAGGACTCCTGGTATCTCTAGACCAAACTAATTATGTTCTCTCCTGATTGACAATTTTAGCCTTACTCATCCAAGTTAAAATTCCATTATATGTTCTTGTCGTATTTTCAAATACCAGAATCCTATCTAATCAACTCGATTAGTTCACTAATTAAAGAAATAGGCAATCCCTTATGCTTCCTTTTTATCTTTTGAAATCCCTCACACACTGTTGGCATATGACAGGCTCTGAGGAAATACTTATTGATTGTGTGGGAATTTGAATGTTCCTTTACATATGCATAAATTCTCTCATTTACTCATTCTGTTCCTAGAATGTAAATTCACCAGGCCAAGGACTTGCCTGTTGGTTCCCCTCATATCTCCAATTCTTTCAAAGCAGTGCTCAGCACATGATATGCACTCAATAATCATTAAATCAATGGATAATTAACTAAACCTAAGCTTTGAAACACTTTCTAAGTACAACACGCTGTTCTAAGTCCTCGCTTTTACCTGTATTGTTGCTAGAAGTCATCCAGTTAATTTCAGCTCATAGTAACCCATGTTACAAACTTCCCCATAGTTTTCTAGGCTATAATCCCCATGGAAGCAGATCACCAGGTCTTTCTTCCATGGAACCCACTGGGTGGGTACAAACCACCAATCTTTTGACTAGCACCCAAGCATTTAACCATTTGTGCCACCAAAGTTCCCTCTTTCAGCTATGATATTCTGCATTTCTGGTTTATTTGTCTCCTACTAAAAAGTAAGGGAAGGAACTAGAACTTAGGAGGTTGATTGATAAGTGATCTTTGAGTGATCGAATAATGGAACAATCAATAAAACCCTACCTCTGTTCTCCAGACACATACTTTATGCCTAAGGACAGAAGTCCTAAATATTTAACTAAAGTAATGGGTACCTGATACAAGTCTATGATACAATTCTCTGAAAAGGAATTAGGAAAGTGCAGAGAAAGACCCTCTTAATCTTGTCTGAGTTGTCACCTGAACACTAATTAAGCAAATGTGAGCTCAGTTAGGCCAAATAGAGGGATTTGGAGAAAACAAAATCTCTCCGCATTGAAAAACCCAGAGGACTATGAAAGCAAAGAGAGGAAAATGTCACCATTGTTGTACTCACCCTCAGCTACGTCGTCATCCACGGTTAACTTTAGGCTTTTCCCTCTCCGCACCACCCGAACGGTGTGCCATTCGTTGTCGTTGAGTTTCTGCCCCGCATACAGGGTCTCAGGTCCTTTGCCTAAGGATGGTGGTAAGTGCCAAAGTTAGAGTCAGTTCTAGAAGTCGAGCTCACAGCATCAGAGTTGTCAAAGCCACACTGGTGCATATGACTCAGCAGTACTCAGAGAGCTGTACCTGCCCCAGAGCTCATCCTGGTTTCTCTAATCTATCAGTGTCTTCCGTAACTTTTCCTCCAAAAGTCTCCATTAAAACATAACAGACAATGGCAAAAGAGTCGAAGAAACAAGTGCTCTTCTTTATCTATAGTTATGAGATTTTAAACTTCTAATGCCAATAAGTGAACATTCATAGGCAACAGTAGTCAGTTTTCATTTTGTTTCCCAAAGTTTTAAAATTCAGATGAAATTCTTGGAGACACAGGAAATTCACCCTAAGTTTCTGAGAATCGTTTGGTCATTTAGGCCTAATGCACCAGTGTGGCTTTTAGAGAGTACCCACCAATTGGATGGGGAAAGAATTCTGCAACATATGCTTCCTTAACAGATGTTTCCATTCACCCATGGTCCTACCGGCCACAGAAACCCCAACAACAATCATCACAATACTAACAAAGGCAAGGTTTAAACCTCGATATAAATAATGCTCCTGAAGGGAATATGAAGGGATCCTGACTTAGCCTGTTGTTCATCATCCTCCAAAAAGATCCAAAGACCCAAATACAAAATAATACAAAATTTCAAATTGAACCTTTGCAGCTCAAAAGAATGTTCTATAGAAAGGGCCACTGAATGAAGGAGTCAACAAAATTGCCTCAAGATACCCAGGCTCAAGGTATCCAAGATGATGTTTAAGTTCACCCTAGGAAGAATCAGGACAAAAATAAGATAATTGTGTTTAGGGGCAACAGCTGATAAGATAGACAAGCACTGAGGTATTGAGACAACCTAGCTAGTAAGGTAAAAGGGAATAAACCCATATATAAGACCATATATAAGAGAATCAATAAAGAAATGTACTGGAATTTTAGAGTGTATGTATCATCATTGAACTGATGTATCAATTGAAAAGACAAAGAAGATGGCATAGAACCAGAAGATTTAGACCAACGTTGCTCTCTCTACCTTGATAGCCAAATGGTGCACAGGAAGTGGCTGTTGAAATCTTTCTGGATCAGTCAATCAGCATGTGGAAAGCCCTCTCCCTGAAAATGACTTAAAAGTAATGATGAAATATGTGACTGGACAATATCATGCTATACATCTGAAATATTATGCTAGGCTCCAACATATATCAAGCACAGAGGCTGGTACATAGTAAGTGATGGATCAGTGCTTGTTGAATAACTGATGTCTACATAGGTCTGTATTTCATTAAGCTCAATACATTTTTAATTTAAGTAATTTTGAAAGCTTTATTATAAAGCTTTCATTAGACACTATTTCTGCTCCTCTTCCCAAAGATTGAAGTTATTATATCTTGTTTTGGTGAAAGAAAGAGTACCACCAAGTAGGGATCTTTAAAATCAGGTAATTAAAAAAAAATTTTTTTTAAGTTGTGTTTGAGTAGATTGTAAGTTCCTGGATGTTGCAAATGGTTAATGAGCTCCGCTGCTAACCAAGAGGTGGGTGGTTTGATTCTCCCCAGAGACGCCTCAGAAGAAAGACTTCGCCATCCACCTCCAAAAAATCACACACTAAAAACCCCATGGAACACAGGTCTATTCTGAAAAACACCTGGGCTCCATGAGTTGGAATCAACTCTACCTGGCAATGAGTTCACTGGTTTCATTTTAACCTCCATTTTTAAATGTTCTGTCATTAGCATTCCTATAGTGTGTTTATAAAGCATTATAATAGTAGTTTATGCTTGGGAATTTATTTTCCTTTGAAAATAAGAAACTAATTTTCAAAATATACAGCAGGTAACATGATTTTTTTTTTTCCATATTATATCCTACACCCAAAATACAATCCAAATTCAAATGAATTCTGAGAAGTCAGTGAAGAAACTTAGAGAAAACCAAATATACCCAAAATTGGGTTGTGATGCACTCTAATCAATGAATCTTGGGAAAAAGTAATTTTGTAGTAGATCATTTTCTATTTAATCTCACTTCGCTCACTTTGTGAGTACACCGGTCTTTTATATTACCAATTCATCAATTACATCAGGATTTTCCCTCCATATTTGATCATTAGATAACATTGCTCACCATCTCTACATATAGGTCCGAGACTGATATAACCGTCACCTTTACAACAGCAAACCAAGACTACTGGAGAAAAGACATTTTGTGGGTACTTTTTTTTTTTTTTTTTAGCAAAAACAGATGTTCCCAGAAGAAACAAATCTGCCTTTGTTCTTTTTGTGTTTGTGTGTCTTTGTGTGTGTTCATGTTTTCATCCCCTTTATTCTACATACAAATGCTTCAGCAAGAATGAAAGAAGTAAAGAAAAGATGTGGAGAACATTGACTGTGGAGGCAGAACTGTTAACAATATAGGCTATTTAAAATGTCTCCTGTAAGGAGCCATCTGTTCTTTAGGTAATTTTTGCACATCACTCAATTTTTATCATTAGGAGCAAGATAAGAGGGAACATGGCTAACACAAATACAGCTAGGACATAACACATCCGTGTCATATTGGCCTTAGACATGTAAACCAAGCTGTGCCTCAGCCCAATTTGCTGTAAATGCTGCTGACACTATGTAGGTATTTCAGCTTCTATGGGGTCCTTGAACTGTCCATCACAGTCCAATTCAAACAAAATAACTTTCCATTTGATTCTAAAGCTTTAGGATGTGATGCTTTATCACCAAAGATGTGAGGAAAATAACTGATACCTCTCAAGTCCCACTCCTTACTTACATGTAATACCTCCAATGCAAATCATTCTCATGACTTTGAAAGATGAAGATCCACTCCCATCTCATCAGAATGACAGCAAACCAATATTACTCGATATTCATTTCTGAGCAGCAAATAAATACATTCAGTGAGCTATTGAAAAATTTTCATGCTACAGAAGTGGAGAGTCAATGGCATTTATCTTTAATCAAGCCAAAAGGTCAACTCATCCTTCTTTAGCGAAAGTGGTGTTTAAACCCAGCTGGAAATCTAGGCAGATGGAGGGAAAGAGCAAATCTAATCTGTAACCCAGTGATGTAAGATGTAGACACGAGCTAAAGTTGAAGCATGCAGCTGTTAGATTTTCAAAGGAGGAAAGTCTAGGAAACCCTGTTTCTGGCCGATTTGAGTACAAAGCTCAACAGCAGCATCAGTAAAACAAAGACGGAAAGACTTTCTCACTCTACAGAGTGGTCTAGACGTGATGAAGAAGGAGGAAACCTTGTCTTTTTAAGTTGAGATTTAAAATGAAACTAGTGGGAACTTAACAAAAACACCGCCACCAGAAAAAGAACTCATCAAAAAGTCATCATGTTTGTGTCGTTCTCTTTGTAATAGCAGAAATATGATATGCGTTCAGGTGCATATTGGATGCACTCATGAGATGCATTTTCCTTTCATAGTTTAAGTAATAAATGTTGATCACCAAACACTCCTCTGATTCTCCTGAGACTGCTTAGAACATCACTGTTTCATTTCAATACAGGCAACTAATAAATGATCTCATATCCTTGGGTGGAATTGCCCAGGTAATGACACCCATACCTGGAGCAAAGAAGCAAAATCCCAGATCAAGATTTCTGGGATGCAGAAGTATGTAGAAGTGAGATTATTTACTATAGAACAGAGAGCCCAAATGCCCATACATGATCTAGCTTCAGTGCAAACTCATTTAGCAACATGTCTTTGAGGTGAGGCTTTGAGGGACAGAAGATGTTTAATTTTCATATGAAAGGGGGTAGAGAAGAAGGTACATGGTTGAAGGACACTGATGACATTTTTTTTTTCCTGACTTGTCCCACAGTAACCTATGGAAGTCTCATTTCCTTGAGAAGCCAGAACTAATAAGAAAATCAAAGTGGAGAATTAGAAGGAAAGTTCTTCTTAAGAGAGAAACCATTACTGATGGCTTGGAGGTGGATGATACAGATATTAGAATTTCCCCCCTCTTTCAGTAAATAGGGAATGGGGGTATGTGATGAGGACCTTGATCACTACTAAAGGCATTACTTTTGCAAGTTGGATTTTGGATTTTAGTTATTTTTAATGTAGTGTTGTTTTGTTTTGTTTTAACTTTTTTAAAACCAGACTGTTCATTTAAAGAGATTCCCCCCAGGAGCAATATAACCAGAGTTACCCCCAATAAACATTGCTTGCCAATATATTTCTAAGACCTGACCAACTACACCAGATGGTTTTGCTCATATCCAGGGAGTAAAAATTCCTTCCATCTTCCAAAAGGGCAGTTTCCCAAACATGAGTAGGTAGCATTTGGAATCTTTTTTGCTTAGAGGAGGGAGAGAAAGGACAATGCCTACACCACAATCACTTGGCTTTACATGAACAATTTTGTATTTATACAAGAAGGAAAAAAGGAAGATTAACTTGGTTTTCCCTTGAATAATGTTTCAGATGAATCAAAATTCCTTTACTGTATCAGAATTATGAAATTCACCCCCTTAGAAGGAGAGAGTGAAAGGCATGTAATTATACATCCAAAAGATAAATAAATACTTAAAATACTGAATTGTGTTAGGTTTAAAGAACATCAAAAACATTTAAGAGGAAAAAACTTACCTTAATTCCCACCGACACCACAGGTTAGGCTAGTTGAGCTGTGACATGCATTTTACTAGCCCAGAGCAGCATACACTTTATCCATTAATCTTCCTCCCCAGGGACAATAGATTAGAGAAATAGATGCAAGGGTAAGGAGAAAAAAGAATGAAACTAAAGAGGAAGGAGGGAAAATGGGAAACATTTCACTTTCTGTCTACAAAATTTCAGGTTCTGATTATTCTCTTGGGGATCATAAGCCAACAGAGAGCAAGGGGTTTTTGTTTGTTTGTTTGTTTGTTTGTTTTTGTTAATAAACTTATTTGTTCAGAAAACAATTTCATCTATTGAAAAACAACTTTAAAATATTTATT